ACAGGTGAACTCATGATACATTTCATACAGTGAAAAACCCCTCCAGGAAAGCAATGATTTCCCCCAAACCTGGGATTCTTATATGTTCTTTATATTCTGAGATAATTTCCATTTCAAATATGCCGATGAATGCCAAGATTTGGAGCTTGGAATCTCTTGTCATCTAGCTCAGACTCAAAGGCAGAACGCAGGCCTGAATGACATATGATGTCGAGATTAATATCTGTGAGCCCTATTTGATGGTTGCGTTAGATGTGTTGGGTCCCTAGTATGTGATCTGATCACAGGATGTGGAGTAACAGAAAAAAAGAGCATCAAAGTTTTTTATTCGCAGTATAAAATTCAGGATTTTTTCCTCAGTCTGATAAAGACATTTCACACTTGGGAGGTTTTGTTATTCTTAAAAATACGTTTCAGTAGTAATAAGGTCCAAATAACTAAATTAGATCGTAAAGAAAAATTTTAACATTTCACATGACTATTTCCGTTTCAGTTTTAAAAGTATATTAATTACAATAGTGTTATTTTAGTGATAATTTTGTAGGCTGACATCATTTTCACTAACTATGAGCCACTTCTGCTATGATACAAAGATAAGATGACTCTACCACTTTTTTTAATGAAATTGCCATTGCTCAAAATATTGAACCTCAATATGTCACTATCTGTATATTAGAAATGACATATGGAACGAATAACATTTTCACTTCTTTTCAAACCTAGTGATTCTCATTAGGAATTCATTTTCAAATTTGCCATTTGGAGATCCCAGACTCTGCCTCCTATAGCATTCTGTGAATTAAATTGGCATAACTAAACATGTCCCTATCAATCAACAAAAACGCTGATGTCCTGTTTTGGCAAAGTTTTCAAAATATAATACATTCAGAGAATGAGGCAGTTTACATCATAAATAAATCTTTCACTAAAATCATAGCAAATTTAACATCCTATAGTTATTACAATGGAAATTAATATAAAAGATTTTCTTAAAAAAAAAAAAAACAGGATAGGGAGTAGAAACAGCACTACTCAGTTCCAGCCCCAGATCTTTGTCTAATTAATAATGTGACTCTGGAGGGTTTACTTCAATTATCTGGGCTTCCGTTTTCTCCCTCCGTCTCTAAAATTCTTTCAAGCTTCAATATTCTTTAATTCTTTAATTATATGTGCTGTCATGTTTATAATCAAGAGAACCAAAAGCTCATTTCCATGACATAAAAAGTGAGTGAGTTTCTCTTTGGTTATGTGCCGATCTTTAATATGAGAATTTTGCTCTGCTTGGCACTTATATTACTCCATTAAAATGAATAAGCTTACTTCCTAGCCTAAGTTACTGTTCTGAGAATTGGGACAGCTACAGTATTTAAGGAAAAGGTTAAGTTTCTATGCAAAGAAGCCCTAAAATACAATGGCCTAAATTAGATAGACGTTTCTGTTTCACATACTGTTCCAACTGGTCTAGGGTAGGGGGAGGGGGCAGCTCTTTTCCATGAGGTCATACTGCCGTCCAGTTTCTTTCCCTCCTGTTACTCCATCCCCCTAGAGTACTGTCCTCATCATAGTTGGGGAGTTGAAAATTTCCTTAGTAAAAAAGTTCTGGTTTCAAAACCTCTGGTTCCAGATAAGAGAAATTCCTGGAACGTAAGTGATTTGCCCAGTACAACACTACTTCTTACGCTTAGCATTCAGCCGGTCCTCTATCAGCTTCAGCAACGTGCGTCTTCTACCACTTCAAACCCTAACCAGCCACTAACTACGTCAGTATAGTGCAATGGAAAGATCACTGATTTCAGAGCAAAGCAGACATTTGTTTGAATTCCAGATTTCTCGCCTGAGCAAGTGACATAACACTGCTTACCTATAAAATGCAGATAACCTGTATTTCACGGAGCAGAAGTTAGTATGAAATAACATAATGTAAATAAACTTGCTTGTCATGGAACCTGACGCACAGTAAATGTTTCATGAGCGCCCTCACTCTTCCTCACACAGAGAGGAAGAAAATAGCTTTCTGTGCTCAAGTACTGCATGGTGGAGGTAAGATACTCCAACACAAACATCCCTTGAATGACCAGCCTTCTGAGCAATACAATGATGCTGTACATTCACAGAGTCCTCTCCAGTTTTCAGACCACATCTGCATATATTATCTCATTTGCTACAATATTACAAGGTAGGTAGTCAGTAGAATCACCCTCCTTTCACAGCCACATGGAAACCACTGGATCACACTTGATATTTCCAAATCACTCTACACACTTTACTCCATCTGATGCTCGCAACTTTGTGAAGTAGGAGCCGCAGATACCATTACCATCATTTTACAGATAAGAAAACTGAGTTTGAGAGAAGTCATTAGCTTCACTTTTATCAGAATAAAGAGCTAATTTATAAATAGTTCTCAAAAATTATTTTTTAAATGGCAAAAAAAGTGAAGGGATAAATCCGTCTCTTGCTTTCAAATATTGTTTTATTTTGAAGTCTCAGAGAAAAGTATATTCCACATTTAGGACAAGATCCTGATTGTTTTTCTACGTATGGACCAGTATACTCCCTGCTACGCTGTAACAGCAGGTACCTTAGGGGTCAGAGCCACAGAAATCAGGGGTTACTCTCAGCTCTTTCCTCTGAAAAGATACAGACAGCCAACTCTGTGACTGTGGAGCCGGCCCGACTATTCTGTTCCTCTCTGTTCCTCTCCTGCTACTTCAGCAGGATGTACATCAAGAGGCTCAGCTCTACAAGCCAGAAGTGTTGGTCCACTATACTGTGGTGGTGTGGTTTCATTGGGTCAGATCGGGATCTCTCTCCTGGGATGTATGGACCCTTTTAGTTCATTGACTCTGGAAGCTCCATCTCCAGAAACTCACTCTTTCATAACCAGCAATGCTTTGGGCTGCAGGGGTCAATTTTTATCAAGCAGAGATCTATTTAAAAGAAAGAGAGGGGCTGGTCCTGTGGCATAATTGTTAAATTCAAGCGCTCTGCTTCAGTGGCCCGGGTTTGCGGGCCCAGATCCCAGGTGCAGAACTTCAACACTCATCAGCCAGGCTGTGGCAGTGATCCACTTACAAAATAAAGGAAGGCTAGCACAGATGTTAGCTCAGAGCGACTCTTCCTAAGCAAAAAAAAAAAAAAAAAAAAGGAAAGAGAAAATGTTAAGTGACTACTGGCCTTGGCTCGGCTCAGTGGCTCTATGATAGCAGGTGCAATGTCTTCATGATTTTCTTGGCCTTTTATCAGGGTCATTTGATTACTGCTATGGCTGCAGCCCTCCCATCCTTTGCCAGAGAAGACAAATTTGGATAGCGGAAAGGTGGTGCCTATAAGCATCTGCTTGACCACATCTCTCACTGGCCAGAACTCTGTCACATGGGCACTGTTACTTGCAAGCAAGGCTAATCACCCAAGCTAGAATAATATCTACTTTCATTAATCTCAGGGGAATAAAATCAGCATATTTGGGTCATGGAGAACTTGCTTCCTTCTGATTTCTTCTTACTACTTTTTCTTTCCAAAGTCAAAACAGAAAAAAAAAATTGAGAAAATATCTTGAGTTTCTCTTCTTCTCTGAACAGGACCCAGTGACACTCTCCTAGTCATTTAAAAATTTCCTTGGTAAATACATATGTATCAGTATGGGAAAAGTTTGAAAATATTTTGTATATAAACACATGCAATGCCTAAAAGATGGTCTGGAAAGATATATTCCAAACTTTTGACAGTCATAAATGGTGTGGAAAAAGATTAACTCCATTTATTCTGCTTTAAGAAAATATTCATGTATACTTAAATACATTCTTTTTAAGACGATATAGATCAAAAAATCCTTGGAAACTAAATTCTTGATGTTTTAATTAACATCCATCTTCTTCATGAACATTCTGTCTCCATAGAAAGATATTTTCTTCAGAGGAAATCTACATATACATTCAGCCTCTGTCCACATGTCATTTTGATGAAACTGATTTCTTAAAGAATGTTTGTCCTCTGTATTCCTGGATATTTAAAACCATCATTTAAATGGAACCAAACAAACTTAGCTATGTTATGAACTCCTCATGTTAATTTCTTCTCCCTACAAAGTAACATATAAGGTACTAATAAGATTTACTATATGATATTTAGTCAAACTAATATAATATGACACATTTAAGTGCCACATATACTACAGGAAAGAGAATAATAATGTGTAACGAATCTATAAATCATATCAAACATTGGACTGCAATTGGACTTCTCGGCAATAAAGAGGTGGCATAATAAGCCCAACAATGGAATGATGTTCCATATGGGATTCTTAAAGCAGCAATTTTTAAAAGAGTGTAAGTGGAAAACTAAAAGTACAATTAGTTGCACAAAAATATTGATTATACCCAGTAGTTTTATAAAGAAGTGACAAAATAAAAACATGTAGTTGTATGATTAGCTATTAAAATATGATACAGGCAAATTTTATAGTCAAAATGTCATTATGCTTAAGAGAATATCACCAATGGGAAAAATGTGGGCCTCATCACAACCTATAAAATTACATCGCACACTTCCAACTGGATACCATGCAGCTTGTTCCCTTTGAAGAAAAAAATTGCCCCAATTTGTTAAAAAATAAAAATATAAATAAAAATGTATGTATACATTAAGAAATTGAAGTTTTTGGGCACTGTGATATACCCAGGTCCTAGAACGATGCTGCCAGTTAGGAGGCACACAGCAGCTGTTGTTGAATGGATTACTAAATTGAAATACACACCCAAAAATATTATCTCTGAAAAATGGAATTAGAAAGTATTTTAATTTTCTTTCTTTCTCTCTTTCTTTTTCTTCTCTACATCTCTTAAATTTTTAATGAATATATATTACTTTGTCATTAGATAAAATAAATTATAAAGCAATCTTTAAAACAAAATGGTTTAAAATGGCAAGCACCATTTGAAGACCTACCAGACTCGAGTTACTAGGCGAGGCAGCTAGGGATAGCTAGCAGTTGGGCTTACCCGCGGGAGACTCACAGCCAACAAGATGAGCACAGCAGCAAGGAGAGGCCTGGCTGGAGGCCTTACAAGCTCAGATTTTGTGCTTGTTCTCTCTCATGAAGTTGAGATCCAGAACATGTTGCCCTCCTCTGATTATAAAGCTGAATATCTCTTCGCTAACCTGGGGTTAAGGCCATAAGTGAACCAATAACCTCAGGCCCTGGGGGAAAAAAAGTTACAATGAAAAAGAGATTGAAATACCGAGCTTGTGCTACACATGCTTGTTTGGTCTAAAGTCAAGCTCTCCACATAGAATGCATAAGCCCAAAACACTAATGTAAACTTGGTTTGAAGGACAGAAACCATAGAAGAGTCAATCCTTTGGTGTAGCTTCATAGGAGTCCTCACCTGTGAACCTTTCAAGACGATTCTCTCAGATGATGAGTATACATAAGGATTGCAAAATACATGAGCAAGTCCAAAGCCATATTAGGCCATGTAAAAATGAACAAATAAGATAATTCACAGAATAGAATAAAGCAAACTGGAAAAAATAAACCAATTTTACAATAGGATTGTTTAAAGTATTCAACAAGATAGCAAGGGAGAGAATATCGTTCAACAGGAACAAGCAGTTATAAAACAAGAAAAGGAGAAAATGACAAATAGCCAAGGTAGAAATTCTAGGCATGAAACGTTAAGTCATTGAAATAAAAGTAAAATACTCAGTAGACTAAAGAAAATAATGACACAAATGAAAAGAGAATTAGGACATTGGAAGAAAAAAGGACATCTCCCTGAATATAACACAAAGAAATAAAGAATCTGCAAAAGAGAAATCAAAGCTTGGAGGACAACGAGAATGAGCAGCTCTGACATTTGTCTAAGGGGAGTTCCAGAAGAGAGGAGAGAATGTGACTGAGAGAAAACATGTGAAGCAACAATAGCTGGCAATTTTCTAGAAATTGGTCAAGAGATCAGAAGTGGTGAAAAGTATGACTCTGGCCCTATCACTGGTAAGAAATTTTAACACTGGATGAAGCAAATCTTTCCAAGAATTGGACAACAGACGTGCAGGTTTTGGTCCTTGAGAGAAAGAAAACCAAAGTAAGCTCTACTTTCCAAGCTGTGATGGAGCAAAATGGAAGCCAAAGACAATGCAGTGGCCTTGTTGGGCAAAGGACACAGATGGGAGGTTGGGCTTTGAGGGAAGTGAAATTTATGGGCAGGGAACAGGAGAGGAGGAGCCCTGGACGGCTCCAGACAGTGTCCATTTTGCTCTTAGCCAAATCCTATGTTGTGCATTCACGGGACAAGTCTCCCCGAGGCCCAGTTGTGAGCAGCTACTGGAGATGGGCAGGAGGCTCTGAGCTCAGCAGAGACTCTGTGAATAAGACCTTTGTGGAGAAGATTACACAAGGTTACTAAAAGAGTTAACTTAATTATGAATACATGAAGACACATACCATGTTTGCCAGGAGAAGATATTAAATACATTTATTCTCTTCCAACTAACCTATAAATTCAATTTAATTTCAATCAAAAGTGTCTTTCTAAAAGTCACATAAAAAAATAAACTCAAACAGTTTTTAGAAATGAAAACAAAGAGAGGGTGTGCACACCTCAGAGTAGAGAAGATGGGATTAAGACACAATAATCAAAAGACACGAAGCAAAGATTGATGCCTTTGACTACATCACAGCTCAGAACTTCTGTAGGGCTAAAGAAACTGTTAAGAATATTCAAGATCAAGGAAAGAACAGGAAAAAAATTAGTATCCAGGATATGTAAAGAATTCTTGAAAATCAGTAATAAAAACACATTAATGGTAAAAATAGGAAAAATTGGCAAAAGATGATTGGCAGAAGAGGATATGCTAACGGAAAATAAATGTACAAGAAGTTGTTCAACCTCAATAATAATCAAGGAACCTCTGATTGAAAACAGGAGATACCATTTTTGTTCCATCAAGTCAAATACAAATGAGTCCAATAGTATAAAGTGCTAGCAAAGATCTAAAGAAAGAAGTTCTCATACACTGCAGGTGGGAGCAAAAATAGGTACAGCCACTTCAGAGGGCAGTTAAGCAGAGCCTAACAGCATTGAAAACACTTACAACCTGGAAGCACTGCTCTTTCATTTCTGAATATATAGCCTCTTCCTCCCAAGCCCCTCCCCCTAAAAAGCGTGTATATGCACAAGGAACATATTCAAGGAGGTTTGTTGCAGCATATTTTTAATAACAAAAATAAAGAAGGGGAGACAAATCTAATTGTACATAAACACAAGAAAATGAACAAATGCAGTATCCTTATGATGAAATACTTTTTAGCAATTAAAAAGAACGAACGAGATCTATCTATCTATATATGTATATAAACATGGCTTGAGCTTAACATAATAGATTATAAAAAGCAATAGTATGATATATATATATAATATACACACACATAGACAAATACATAAAACACAGTATACAGCATATGTGTTTTGCTTGTTTGTTTTTAAAGAATGGAAGAGTAAACATCACAGAATTTATCCACAGTCAGAATTGTGAATAGTCTAGATAAATCTATAATGATTTATTTGAGAAAAAAATACTAAAAGAGATTTGTGATAAAATACTAAATTTGTCAATTTTAGATGGAAAAAAGTAAGTAATTGTATATTATTCTTTATCCTCTATTGTTCTTTTAAATGTCATAAAGCTTAAAAAAATTTCACTGTTTGTATAACAGATGACAGAAATTGGTGGTGGTGAAAAATAATTGAGGGAATCTTGGGTCATTGCAAGTACCACGACAAGTCACAAGTCACGTGGGGGATCTGGTTTTGCTTGTCATGGGTAGCTTTGAGAGATCTAGATTTTCTTTTTTATAGAAGAGGTAAATTAGAGTGACTTCAGCTTTAGAAAGAGACTTTTTGTTTCTTTACCTTAAATAACTCCCATCTGAAATATTTGTTGGTAACACATATACTTGAAAGAATCCTTTTGTTCCCTATTATCAGGCAGTGAAGTTTTCCCCAAGAACATTTCGGAGCAAAAACCAGATATAAGGCCATGCTCTAATGGCACCATTAAATTGCTCAGGGCTTGGTCTGGTACTTACAGTAATACTTAAAGCATTCCCCGAAGGCCCATCAAAATAGAGCTGAGATATGATGTTCATTCAAACAAATGTCTTGCAATTTACACCTAATGAAATTTCTCTCTAACATTGTTTCCTTCACTCCTCCCTCATTAATCAATTAAGAGGGAGTAGAATTAAGATACCAACTTTAGCATAATGTGAGAAAGTTCAGCATTCCATAACTGGGGAGTAAGCAAATGACACATGGTTTTTTAAATGTGTGCAATATATCAGAAGTGGAGAGAGGAAATTAATGTGAACTTGGGGGAAATAATACGACTAATACTGCTCAGTAGCAGATCTTGGATATGTTTTTCTCTTTGATTTTGAAATTATTGGATACTTTTATGGACTTTGCCAGTAAAATAATTCCAGTTTTATTACTATCCATATCCTGTGGTTTTATTTCCTAATAAAAAGATGTGTAGTGTTAGTGTTGTCCTGAAATGTAATTGATTTCTGAGAGGTATCATTTGCTATCTGGGAAATGGTCTTCTGAATTTCTATGAAACAGTGCATGGGTGAATGAGATGCTGAGAAAGACTGCAGTACCAAAAAGTAATAATGGAGATAAAAATTATTTCTCATTATTTTAGTATTGGATAGTTTTGAGTTCAATTTATTGAGGTTTTTAAAGCTTTTTATTGAAATTGTATAGTTCAATAGAAACCAAAAATTAGTTTTGATGTCATGAAATATTTTCATTCCTCAAATCATTATGATATTAGTAACATTAAGTTGAACCCCTCCTTTTTTCCCCCAGAAATGCAAATAGATATACTTAGGATGAAATCAGAGAGCATAGGAAATTTAACTGGACAGTCCTTATACATGAGAATTCTTGATCTGTTTAGGCGCTAGCCACAGGAACCGGCTCAAACATCCCAAAGAACTTAAAATATTTACTGAGAGCTTATGTGAAGGAGACATCCTAAACATTGTGGGAGGCACAGAGAGTAGAGATCTAACTGGGGAGAAAAGATGTCATCAGCTCATATTTCAACCCTCCTTACCACCAAAAGCCAGACCAAGCTGCTCCCAAGCTCCTCTCCCGTACCTGCTCGCCAATTCCAGCTGCAGCCTTCAATGGGTTTCATTAGTCCAGCAAGGCCACCGCTCTTGGTTTGGGTTTCACTTCCCCATGTCACGGTTTAGAAAGTAGCCTTGGAGAGAGCTCACTTTGTGTGCTTCCTTTTTCTCAAGAATCACACCCAGCGCATCTGTTGTCAAGTTCTTGAAAACAGCTGCTTTGCATATCTTGTGCAGTGTTATAGTTTGTTTACTGCAGTAGAGCAAATCTGATATTCATTACTACTGTGTGGCCAGTAAAGTCCTTGGGCATTCTCCCCCCTTCGTATCCATATACCTCTTATTTCCTTTTTTTCTTCTCTTCTCCCACACTATGACCTGAGTCACCTGAGGGCTGAAATTATACATTTACTTATGACATAGCCCTAGGGCCAAGGGAGATGTGTATTGAATGAAGCTAAAGGAACCACAAATTTGAATATGACTGATGATCAAAGGTTTTTCCAACTCAATGTTATTTCTTCTTAACAAAGATAACTCCATTTTGGGTCTCTCTTCAGAACAAGAATATAAGTATCAGATGTAACAGTCTCCATATACAGATACATAATCCGTTATCCCACAATTCTGAAAACCACTAAAACCCATAATATTTGGCCAATTGGTTGCCAAAACTCATTTGGTAGCAAAACCAGACCTGAACTAGCGTAAGTGGTCAGTTGTGTCTCAATGCTTCTCCCAAGCACAGGCACCAGTATTGATTATTGGTTTTTTATCTTGTAAATTTTGGTTTAATTGAACTATAAAAATTTCAAAAAGAGTTAAAGTTTGGGTAATGTTGGGAAGAAAGGGAAGCATCTGTCATTATCAGCAGTGCAGAAAATGGAGTTAATGGGCCACTATAAAGCATCTTACTAAAGAATCTAGTATGGCAGCTGCCCCTACATATAATTTAAAGAAGAGAAAGACAAGATGTTGAAGTTTTATGATGACAGTGATGACAGGAAAAGCACTGAAAACAGGGAAATCACTTCAGAAGGTGAAAAATGAAGAGCTTAACTGTGGGTTGATTAAAGGATTCTGACAACATAAAAACAAAAAAGGAAAGTGTGAGATTGGTCAGTGTTTCTGGACAAGCAACCAACCATGGAACGTAGAGATCATTTTCCATAAGACACTTATCAAATTTTTTGCATAAGCAAACCAAACATATTTACCTTTCTGTCCTTCAAGAAAGGGACTATTAAGAAAATGGGACATTATCAAAATCCCTACGTAATGTTGAAGTTTCCATCTTTAGCAGTGTTGTTTTCATGGGAAATGCCAAACAGTACCATCTTGGGACCTGATTCTTAGAATTACGCTAGATAGTTCGCACATTACCAGCGTTCCAAAATGTTATTTTTAATACATGTGAGTTAATGAAAATAATTAAAAAGATATATAAAACAAAAATTGAATCATCAAATAATATGTGAATTTAGACATGTTTACATTTACTTTATAGTAAAAATAATTGTATTGTTGTTAGAAATGGGCTATTTTTTTTAAGTCTGAGCAATTCCCTCCCAGTTTTCTAGCTTTCTTATTGGGTCAGCCTATTTCACAGTTAACTAGAGAAACATGGTAGAGAGAGAAGACAAAGAGCTTTGAATCTTTTGTTAATTAGTCTATAATGCTCCTAAGCTAGATTTAATTCTCTCACAATGTTGTGGCTAACTTCTTTGAGAAGGGATGTGGAGAAGTGCAAAATTTGACTTATTCAGCCACGTGAAAATTGATTCTTTTCATCCCCTGTCCTTTTTATTTATGCCATTAACTATATCTAATATTATTTTTGAGTGAGATCACAGCAGGTAGAGCGTTCTAGAATATTTTTCCTGCACCATTTTAGATTTTGAGGAAGTTATCTGATTTTCACTTAGTTTAATATAATTTTTTCTGTATAGACGTGCCACCAAATGGACTTTGTTTTACTTTCACAAATGTAAAACCAATTCAATAAACCATCTTGATCCAAGCTGCCACTTAAAACAATTCATCTCTTTGATTTCCATAGTATAAACGCAACTCTGAAAAAATGCCTAATTTCATGGCTTGTTTTCTAAGTATATAGACCCTTTCCTATTATACTTAGTGATACAGTGAAAAATATATAAATCAATTTCCTCTTTCTCTAATAAATGTTTAAAAAAAACCTAAAAAGGATATACTCAAGCATAAACAAGATTCCTATGAGTTGTTTAGATACAATTACAAGTGATAAAAAAAAAATTGGAATGTCTTCTCCATTCACTGAAAAGAAAAATGCAGATTATAAAAGCCGCCAAGAAAACATGAAATGATCTTATCCTAAACAGTAATAAAAGACATGCAGATCGCAGCAACCTTGAGATATCACTTTACCTTATAAAATAGCAAAAGAAATTCTAATTATAAATTTAACTTTGTTGAAGGTATATAAAAGTAATATACTCCTGGATGGTTCTAGGCTTTCTTGGAAAGCAATAAAACAACAGATATTGAATCATAAAAATATTCATATATCCATTACTTAAAATAATGTTGGTGAAATGTAGTCTTATATAAAGTGATTTAGTACATAATGTAAAATGAAAAGATGACAATAACAAATATTATATTTGTTATTGTAACTGTAAGTAAGTGAGCAAAACCTTGCTCTCACATAGAGATTTGAGAGGAAGATAGAGCCTGACCTACAGAGAATAATCAAAGAACAACCTGCAAATTTTCTCTGTATTTGTTAAAAAATGGCTAAAAGGAAACTACTTTTATGTTCTAGAGCTACAACAGCCAGTAGAGGAGCCACTAGCCATATGTAGCTATTGAGCACATGAAAAGTGGCTACTCCACATTGAGATACGCCACAAATATAAAATACACTCTGGATTTCAAAGACTCGGTATAAAAAAGGAATGAAAAGTATATCATGAATAATTTTTTATTGATCACATGGTAAATTATAATATTTGGCAACGTTGAGTTAAATAAGCAATGCTATTAATTTTGCCTGTGTCTATGTACAGTTTAAAATGTGACTACTAGATTATTAAGGGTGATTCTGTGACTAAAGAAAGCCCTTAGGCAAAGAATTGCAGATTCTTAAGACAGGACTACAGCAAAACTGCAGCTGACCTGTACAGTGGACCAAGAAGCTATGGGCGGGGCATTGACACCTTGTACTGGCAGAATGTCTGATGGGATCCACAAATATTTGTGAGAGTGCTTTTGATTGCAAGCAGCATAAAATTCAATTCCAACTATATTAAACAGTAAACAGAACACACCGGTTGACTGTACTGCTTCAAACTCAAAAGTACACCTATAGTTCAGGTACCTCTTGAAGCCATGGCTCAACATGTCACAAAAATCCACTTCCTTTTGCATACAACATTGGCTTCATGCCAACAAAAGCCTCCTGTTGGTTCTACTGATGGCAGCAAGATGGCTGCCAGCACCAATGGGGGTTTTATACTTCCTACTTTAAGACCAGCAGGTGAAAGATTATGTCTTTTTTTTGGTTGCTCTCATGAAATGAAGAGGCAGTTTCTTTCCCAAAAGATGCTACAAATGCCTCCTCGTATCTCATTAGCCTTAATTGAGTCCCAGTCTCATCTTTAAGCCAATCACTGCTGCCAAGCATTAAGATAAGTTGATTGAATTAAGGCAATCAGGGATCACCACCTGAATTTGAGAGCTTGGGGCTAGGGGTCAGTCCTGCCCAAACTGCACAGCTGGGAAATTCAAAGTCATTAAGAAAAAAAAAAGGAAAATGGATGCTAGGGATGTACGCAACAAATATCCACTCTACAACCTCAGGCATAAACACAGAGGCAAGAATTCTAAAGGGAATTTCAATGAACATCTTAGCATGAGAAAAAAATACCCACAAGGGAAAATGAATGCATAAACTTTGTCAGATGTTTTTTAACTTTTTACTATCCCAAAGTTCTTTGCTATTAATCTCATGGTCTTAGCAATATAACCCTTAAACTCAAGGGACATAAATGCTTCTTTTTCTCAGTATCAAGGAAGGGACTAGTGAGGGAGTACTGAGCTACTGAAGAGCTGGGAGGACGCTGACACAAAGCCAAGCAAGTACTAAGGGTTTGGAGGACAAACATTAATCTCTCCTCCATACTTTTGCTTATCCATGTCTTAACTAGTTCTCTCCAAGGAAAGAGGAATTAAAATTCTGATTTGTCCATAGCTGTGACATTGTCAGCACCACAATTAACTGGTAGATGTGGTTTCTATGTGTCAAATTCTAGCACTCCCTGAGTAGAGCTCCCCACATACTTCCTTTTTTCATGCTAAACAGTAAATTGGTAAGGTCATTCTATCTCTATTATTTACCTTATGAGCTGTCAATAGGATAAGTAAGGTTGAAGTCTTTGTCATAGTTCCAGTCATCTTAGATACGGTAAATAGAAATCCTCTTAGATTATAAATCTCAGTCAAATTGTCCAACCCAACTGAAACTATAAGTTCTCCAGTCCAATCACTACATTGAGGGGCATTGAAAGTTTGTTCAGAAATTTATAAAGACATTTTAGGTCTATTCTGTTGTAATTTTTATAAGCACAGTCACCTCACTTAAGAAATCCAAAAGGAATAAGCGTGAGTGGACAAATGTCGACAACAATCTCAAACAGAAGATGAGAAAATAGCCTGAATTCCCGACAGAAAGGGGGAAAATAACTTGAATGAATGTAACAGGTAGGGGCAGATAAAGAAGAAAGGAAATCAAGATTGAACCTTAGGACAGGTTCAAGGATACTTGCAGAGATCAAAAGAAGGTGGTTCTGGTGAGTCAGCAGCAGAAAACCACACAGCAAGAGAAGAAAATATGAAAGCAATTTTTATGTTGGCTTGTGGTTTTGCTATGGTTGTAGTAAATCCAATAATTTCTTGCAAGTAAAATTAAAAAGGACTTGAACCAGCTGAGGCAAAATAAATGGCAGGCAGCAAAGTTGCACTTTAGGCCTTGGCAGATTAGCTTATTTCGGACCAACCATCCCACAAAGAATAACTAAATAACATCAAACTGATATTTTTAAAATCTTATTCTAATGATTCAGAAAACTACCGAAGTGGATACAGGTTTCCCTCGCTGTCCGAAAGTTCACTTTATGCCGCTTCGCTTTTACCAAAGACCTACATTAGTACCTGTTTTCGCTAACCGA